CTGTGCACGGCTGGTGAGATGCCAAACGGTGCAGCCGCTGTGGAAAGCACCCTGGCAGATCCTCGGAGGCTTAAACCAGAGTTACCATCTGACCCAGCAAAGACTGAAAATCCACATCCACGCAGAATCTCATGCCCAGATGTTCACAGCAGCACGACTCATAATGGCTGAAAGGCAGAGCAACCCGAATGCCCACTGATGGATGAACGGATCCACACTCGTGTCCACCCACACGCTGGAGCATGACGCAGCCGTGAAGAGGAGCGAGGCCCTGACACGGCTGCACGTGGACGGACCTCGAACCCACGATGCTCAGGGAAAGAAGCAGACACAGAAGGACACACGGCGTGTGACCCCATGGACAGGAAACGTCCAGAACAGGCCGATCCACAGACAGAGAGCGGGCTCACGGGGGCCAGGGGCTGGGGAGGGGGTGGGGGTGATGCTGATGGGGAAAGGGTTGCTTTTTAGGGGGATGAAAATGTTCTAAAATTGATTGTGGTGATGAGCGCACAACTCTGAAATGTACTAAGCCCACTGAGCTGTACACTTTAAATGGATGAATTGTACCGTATGTGAATTATCTCAACTGAAACATAGGGTCATGTAAGGGGGCGGCTGCTCTAGCTAAGGGGTCAGGTGCCTTTTCGGAGGTGATGACATGTGAGATGATAACAATGAGGAGGCAGCGGCCACGGGAAGGGGTGAGCGGTACGTCTGGGAACAGCCTGTCCGGCGCAGGGAGGCAGGCCCGGGGAGGAGGCTGAGAGGAGCCGGCCAGCAGAGTCCCAGCTGCCGTGGACGTCGGAGGCAAAGGCAGGAAGGAGGTGGCAGAGGGGCCAGGACTTGCTGAGAAAGGGGCTATGGGGTGAGGACCTCACGCCTGCAAGACCCACTCTCAGAAGTGCCCGGAGCCGACCAGAAGCCCCAGCCCTGGGCCCATGGGCTTGGCGAGGCCGCCTGCACGGGGTTGAGAGCTACGTGCAGCATGAGGGAGGCCGGCGGCCAGCTGGCCTCAGGGCCCCTCTGGCCGGGGCCGCATTCCTGCCCCCCCTGCCCTCCCTGGGCTGGGCTGCCGACAGATCTCGTGGGAAATATCAGGGCTGCCAGGAAGCCTTTGTTTACAAAATAAAGCCGCTCCTCCTTGAAGACCCAGTTTTCTGGTCCCCTCCCTGAAAGCCTTTCCTGCCCCCTCCCCCAGATCCCTCTCTGCTCCATCCTGGCCCCACCCGGGGGCAGGAGGCTCCCCGTCCCCCTCCGCTTCCAGGGAAAGGCCAACCAGGAGCACTCCGGGAAGGGTGGCCAGAGGTAGCAAACAGAAATACAGGACACCCAGTTAAATTTGAATTTCAGGTAAAAAAAAAAATCAGTCCATCTCTTAGTATGAGTATGTCCCACGCAGGATCTGGGATATACTGATCCCAAAAGCCATCCATTCTACACCTGAAATTCAAACTTCACTGGGCATCCAGTATTCCACCTGGCGTCTCTCACCCGGTCCCCTCGCCCTTGGTAACTCCCCTCATCGCACGGGTCACTCTCTGACCTCAGGTCCATCCTGGCCTCTCGCCTGCTGCCCGCCCGCCTGTGCGCAGGGGCAGGGACAGCCGGCCTGGCCTGGCCTGGGCCCCACATGCTCCCGGCGGGTGCCCCTAACTGGCTGCGGCCGAGTAGATGTCCAGGACCCTCGCTGTCTCCCACTCTCGGCCCCTGCGGCCTGCACCCCTCGGGAGGGGTCCAGACTTCGATCCGGCGTCTTCCTGGCACAGCAGGATGAGGGAAGCTGCCGTCTGTCCAGCTTTGCTCTGCGCCTGGGCCCGCCCGGTAGAGCCTTCATCCAGCAGCCCCGGCAATCAAAGCCGGACCCCTCCTGCAGCCTCAGGCCCAGCCCCGCTGACCCCTGGGCTTCTCGCCCTCCATGCCCCCCACACCTTTGGCTCCGGCCTCATGGGCACCGTTTCCTGCCTCCGAGCCTTTGTCTGGTCTGTGCCTGGCCCCAACGCCCTTCCGTGCATCACACTGTCCGCCTCCTGGCAGAGGCCTCCCCGGCTGGCCGTCCCGTCCCATTGGCTTCCTTCTACTTTTTGTTACAAAACCTTTCAACTCGCAGCCCAGGGCAGAGAAGACGGCATAGGATCCCGGTGCCCTCACTGGCTCTTGCGCAGGGTTTCCGGCTCATTCTCTGCATTTTTCTGAGAGGGGAACTGTGAGATCCAGCCCCTCCCAGCGGTGTTTGTGGGGCGCGTGGACTTTATTCTCTGGGCGAAGGGGGCCCGGGGAGGGACTGAGCGGGAGCGGGTCATCAGCTGACGCGTGCAGTAGGGGGATGTCTCGGCCGCCAGGGGAGGGGGGCCTGAGGGTCGGGAGTGGACGTGGGTAGGGACAAGGCGGCCCCCAGACCCTGTGAATGGGACGGTATTTGGAGAAAGGGTCTCTGCAGATGCAGTTAAGTTAAGGGTCTCGAGACGAGCTCGTCCTGGATGAGGGGGTCCTCATAAGTGAGAGAAGACGAGAGACACAGACACAGAGCAGAGGCCACGTGGAGACGGAGGCAGAGGTGGGGTGACTCGGCCACACGCCCAGGACGCCTGGGGCCCCTGAGGCTGGAAGAGGCAGGAGGGACCCTCCCTCCTGGAGCCTCCAGGGAGATTGTGGCCCTGGCCCCCTTGACCTCTGATTTCTATCCCCAGAACCCTAAGGATTTTTTTCCTTTTTTTTTTTTTAATATTTTATTTTATTTATTGAGTTAATGATAGGTTACAATCTTGTGAAATTTCAGTTGTACGTTAATGTTTGTCAGTCGTGTGGTAGGTGCACCTCTTCACCCTTTGTGCCCACCCCCCACCCTACCTTTCCCCTGGTATCCACTAATCTGTTCTCTTTGTCTACATTTTTAAATTCCTCATATGAGTGGAGTCATACACAGATTATCCTTCTCTCGCTGGCTTATTTCACTTAACATAATTCTCTCAAGGTCCATCCATGTTATTGCAAATGGAATGATTTTGTTCTGTTTTGCAGCTGAGTAGTATTCCATTGTATATATGCACCACGTCTTCTTTATCCATTCGTCTGTTGATGGGCACTTAGGTTGCTTCCACGTCTTGGCTGTTGTAAATAATGCTGCCCTGAATATTGGGGTGCACAGGACTTTTGGGATTGCTGACTTCAAGCTCTTTGGATAGATACCCAGTAGTGGGATGGCTGGGTCATATGGTAGTTCTATTTCTAATTTTTTGAGAAATCTCCATACTGTTTTCCATAGTGGCTGCACCAGTTTGCATTCCCACCAGCAGTGTATGAGGGCTCCTTTCTCTCCACACCCTCTCCAACATTTGTCACTTTTTGTTTTGGTTATTTTTGTCATTCTAATGGGTGTAAGGTGATATCTTAGTGTAGTTTTGATTTGCATTTCCCTGATGATCAGCGATGATGAGCATCTTTTCATGTGCCTATTGACCATCCGTATATCTTCTTTGGAGAAATGTCTGTTCATGTCTCCTGCCCATTTTTTGATCGGGTTGTTTGATTTTTTGTTGTTGAGTTGTGTGAGTTCTTTATATATTATGGATATTAAGCCTTTGTCAGATATATGACTTGCAAATATGTTTTCCCAGTTAGTGGGCTGTTTATTTGTTTCAATCCTGTTTTCATTTGCCTTGAGGAAGCTCTTTAATCTGATGAAGTCCCATTTGTTTATTCTGTCTATTGTTTCCCTTCTCTGAGAAGACATGGTGTCCGAAAAGATCCTTTTAATACTGATGTCAAAGAGTGTACTGCCTACGTTTTCTTCTAGAAGCCTTACGGCTTCAGGTTTCCCCTTTAGGTCTTTAATCCATTTTGAGTATACTTTGGTGAATGGTGAAAAAGGATGGTCAATTTTCATTCCTTTACATGTGGCTTTCCAGTTTTCCCAGCACCATTTGTTGAAGAGACTTTCTTTCCTCCATTGTAGGCCCTCAGCTCCTTTGTCAAAGATAAGCTGTCCATAGATGTGTGGTTTTATTTCTGGGCTTTCAATTCTGTTCCATTGATCTGTGTACCTGTTTTTGTACCAGTACCATGCTGTTTTGATTACTGTGGCTTTGTAGTATGTTTTGCAGTCAGGGATTGTGATGCCTCCCGTTTTGTTCTTTTTTCTCAGGATTGCTTTAGAAATTCGGGGTCTTTTGTTGCCCCATATGAATTTTAGGATTCTTTGTTCTAATTCTGTAAAGAATGTCATTGGGATTCTGATTGGGATGGCGTTGAATCTGTAGATTGCTTTAGATAGAATGGACATTTTAACTATGTTTATTCTTCCAATCCGTGTGCCTGGAATGTCTTTCCATCTCTTTATGTCGTCATCCATTTCTTTCAGAAAAGCCCTGCAATTTTCATTGTATAGGTCCTTCACTTCCTTAGTTAAATTTACCCCGAAGTATTTTATTCTTTTTGTTGCGATTGTTTTTTTCCTTTTTTTGAGGAAGATTAGCCCTGAGCTAACTGCCACCAATGCTCCTCTTTTTGCTGAGGAAGACTGGCCCTGAGCTATCCATGCAGTTAAACCCTCAGACGAGGGTGTGGCCCACCCCGTCCTGCTGCCCACCCCGTTCGGCCGCCCCCTTCACTCCAGCAGAACCCGCACAGCCATGTGGCACCGAGTCCCTAGGCCCCACGAGTGCCAGGGGCCTGGCCTTCCAGAACCTTCCTGCCAGCCCACCCGCCCGAGGGGAAGAGCTGGGATCCAACATGGGCGGGCAGCTCTGCTGCTTGAGCTGCGGGCCAGGAAGCGGCAGCTGTGAGGCCGAGATAAGCTTCCTGCTGGAGGGGCCGCGGCCTCCACTGCTGTGCCTCCAGTGGGAGCCGCCCCAGGACCCTGCCGAGGGGACGCGGCTTCCCACCTCCGGGGGAGGCGGGGGAGGAAGGGGCTTGGCGCCTCCGGGCACCCCTCGTCCACGCCCCTTGCCGGCCTCCCCTCCTCTCAGTCGGGTCCCAGACTTCGCTGGAGCGGCTCAGCATTCAGGAAGCACGTGTTTGGGTTTATTCTATGGGACTTGCATGAACAGCAGGTGGAGGGGACACAGGGTGGGGCCAGAAGGGCCCCCAGGCGGCGGGTCTGTCCCCAGGACTTGGGTCGCCGTCCTCCCACACGCGATGGCCTCGCCTCCCCGATGACGCTCACCAGACCTCCTCCCTGGGCTTCCCAAGTCACTCATCATCCAAACCCCTGTGGCCGAGGGGCTGCAGGAATGAGGGGTCCCTGTGTCCCTCTCATCGGGTGGGACACTCCCAGGGGACCACGCGCACGGCTCCTCCACGAATCACACCGACACCGTCTGGTTTGTGCAAAGTCCTCAGCTCCTGAGCCTGGGCCTGTTCCTCGGAAGCTGACGCCTCATTACAAAGTTCAAGGCCAAGCCCACCCGCCCCTCCCCAGACCCGGGGCCTCAGACAGCCCCGCGCCCTCAAGCTGTCTCAGCCCAGGGGAGCCAAGGACACGAGGAGGCTGAGTGTCACCGTCATGTGGGGTCCTGGGGCAGAAGACGGACATCAGGGGGAACTGAGGCAGTGTGAGTGAAGTGTGGACTTTGGTGAAGGACAGTGTGTCAATGTCAGTTCACTGACTGTGACAAATGTGCCGCCTGAATGCCGGTCGTCAGCAGGAGGGGACGGGCTGGGACACGGCGACGCTGCACCGTCTTCAAGACTCTTCTGTGAATCTGACTCTTCTAAAAAGTAGGTCTGTTGAGACAGATGAAGAACCTTCAGCAACGGGCCAAAAAAAAAGAATCTGCACCTTCTCGTCCCCCTACCCCCTCCCCCTCCCTCCCCCCTTCCTCCTCCTCTCCCCCTCCCCCTCCCTCCCCTCCCCCTCCTCTCCCCCTGCCCCCTCCTCCTCACTCCCCTCCCCTCCTCCTCCTCCTCTTCCTCCTCCTCCACTTCCTCCTCCTCCCCCTCCCCTCCTCTCCTCCCCCTCCCCTCCCCTCCTCCTCCCTCCCCCCTCCTCCTCCCTCCCCCCTCCTCCCCCTCCTCCCTCCTCCTCTTCCCTCCTTCTCCTCATCCTCCTCGTCCTCCTCCCCCTTCTCCTCCTCGTCCTCCTCGTCCTCCCCGTCCTCCTCGTCCTCTCCTCCAGAAAGCCTGGAACTTAGAAGTGCTCAATAAATAAGAAATGCTGTTGCATGATGAAGGGAAAAAAACACTTGACTTTTGCTCTGCAAACTCGGCTTCTGGGCTCCTCGCCCGCAGATACACCCTGGGGCGTGGGGCGGGAGGGGGAGGATGGGAGGAAACCCCGTAAAAGATTACAACCAAAAGATTATGATCCAGAGGTTGAGGTCACCTCCAAGGTCAGCACCGTGACGGGGCACCATGTGTACCCGTGTTTCTGTGGGTATAAAACCTTCGCCCAGAACACCTTGGGACGAGACAGAAGGCACCGGCACAGCTGCCTCCTGGGATCAGCAGGGCCAAGGTGGGGAACGGGGACCTTGCACCCCTCTAACTGGTTTCCTGTGGGAAATGATAACTATGTCAAAACTCGAGTTGAGGCCAGGCTGTGAGGGGCTGAGGAATCTTCCGGGGTGACTCGTGCAGGGTTTGGCTTCCATGCTTTTGTCAGAACGGCAAATCACCCCCTGAGATGTGTGCATTTCACCTGTATGACAGAGAGGGAGAGAGGGAGGGCTCTAAACAAATCCCGGGATCCCAGCCACGTGCACAGCATCCCGAGTCTGCACCTCACTCTGAAAGGCGTCAGCGGCTCAGCCGGATGGACGGGGGCGCAGAGGGACAGCCGACCAAGAGGAAGAGACGTCCCACCGTTCGTGGCTGAGCCTGCACGGCGGGGACCTCAGTGCTCACCCGGCAGTTAGTCCCACTTTGCTGCGTGTTTCAGAATTTTCATAGTAAAATAAAATGATGCTGCTGGATAGTGGCACGTCCTCAAACTGTTAAACAGAGTGACCGCACGGTCCAGCCATCCCCCTCCTACGTGCGCCCACACGGACGTTTGCACACGTGTCCCCAGCGGCAGAGTCACAACTCGAGTGTCCTTCGGCAGGTGACACATCCACACTCGTGTCCACCCACACGCTGGAGTATCACGCAGCCATGAAGAGGAGCGAGGCCCTGACACGGGTGCACGTGGACGGACCTGAACCCACGACGCTCAGGGAGAGAAGCAGCCACAGAAGGACACACGGCGTGTGACCCCATGGACGGGAAACGTCCAGAACAGGCAGATCCACAGACAGAGAGCGGGCTCGTGGGGGCCGGGGGCTGGGGAGGGTGTGGGGGTGATGCTGATGGGGACGGGGCTGCTTTTCAGGGGATGGAATGTTCTGGAATTAGATCATGGTGATGGGTGCACAACACTGTGAATGTACTAAAACCCACTGATTTACACACTTTAAAAGGGTGAGTTACATGGCACGTGACTGACATCTCAGTAAAGACGTTACCAAAAAAATGAGAGGAAGAAGAAGGGTCTGGATGTTTTTGTTGCTGGCTCCCCGCCTGCTCCCCAGGCCCCGCACCCGGCACACACTGGCGCTCACCGCAGACCAGCACGGCCCTGCCCGCCCCCTGCTGGCCAAGGCTCTGGCTGTGGCTCCCACGCCGGCCAACGCTGCCCTCTGCAGTCCCCACTCCTGGGAGCAGCCGCCGGGCTCCCCCGAGCAGCCTCAGTGCAACCTTTGTTTTACGAGTGGGGAAACTGAGGCTTGCGCAAGGCCACGCAGCCAGCACGGGCAGAAGTCGGCTCAGAATCCAGTTTGCCTCACTAGGATTTATTGGTCCTCTGAGACGGGGCGGTCCCCTCTCTGCCCTCCACGGGACCTGCAGGGGAAGGGTCCCTCCAAGCCGGGGACTCGGGGTAACCCCTGGAGCTCAGGCCCAGGCGGAGACGGTCAGTGTCTGATGACCTTCCGGATCCAGGACACGTAGGGGGCCACGGCGGTGGCCACGGGAGGTTTGAAGATGTCGGTGCAGGCCTTGGAGCTGAAGGATAGGATTCCAGCCACCTTGCCCCTGCTGCACACCAGGGGCCCGCCCGAGTCGCCCTGCTGGAGGCCACACAGAGCACAGGTCACCCCTGTGCGCCCTGGAGGGGCCCCATGCTCCCTGGGGTGGCAGGCTGATTCCAGGTCAGAGAGCAGAAACCCCGCCCCGGGGCTGTAGGGCCTCTTTCCACATCTCCTTACTTCCCCTGACTCTGTCATTCTCTTCCTCCTTCTTGTCCTTTTAACACTCTTTGCTCCTTCCTCCCACCCCAGGGCCTTTGCACAAGCTGTAGCTGTGCCTTGATCATCTTTGGTGCTAGAGTTCAAACCCCATTTGTGCTGCTCGCTTCTCGACTATGTGACCGTGGGCCTCATAACCTCTCTGTGCCTCAGTTTCTGGATATGAGAAATGGGCTAATGCTGGTACCAACTTCCAGGACGCCCTGCCCCCGGAGAATGGACAGAGCTGGGGCCCAGGGAGAGTCAGGGGCTTGCGGGGTGCCCCTGGCCACAGGCTGACGCCCTCTGGCCTCCCAGCACCCCCACCCCCCGGGCCAGGTCACCTTGCAGGGGCCCTGGCCCTTGGACGGGGCCTCCAGGCAGAGCATGCGGGGGGTGATGGCGCCGTCCCAGAAGCGGCTGTTGTTGCACATCCGGGCGTCCAGCACGCGCAGGTCCAGCTCCTGCAGCGCCCTGGCCAGGGGCCCGTTCTGGTGGGTGAGCCCCCAGCCGGCCAAGCTGCACCGAGCTCCCGCCGCCACTGCCTGGCGCCCTGCGGGCAAGGCCAGGGGCCGGATGGTCCTGCTGGTCTTCACCTTCCCGTCCAGCTACAGGGGACAGAAGGGGGTAGGTGACGGGGAGGGGCGGGGCAGCGAGCGAGGGGGCTGAAGGAGGGGTGGCGGGGCAGGGGACAGCGGTGGGATGGAAGGGGCAGTGGAGGTGGGGAGCAGGGTGGGCAGGGAAGAGGGAGGGGCGGCGGGGAGCGAGGCGGGGCCGCGGGAGAGGGGCGGGGGCGCTGGAGGGGCAGGGAGGGCCCGTGGGGCAGGGGGAGGGGAGGGAAGGGAAGGGGAGGGGAGGCGAGGGGAGGTCAGTGGGGGCGGGGGCGAGGCGGGGGGCCGAGGGAGAGGGCGGGGGTGGGGGTGGGAGGGCCGATGGGGGAGGGGGCGCCGCGGGGCAGGGGCGGGGGGGACAGGGGCGTGGCGAGGCAGGGAAGGGTGGGGGCAGGGGCGGTGCGAAGCAGGGCTGCGGGGGGGGGCGGGGGCTCTGGGGGGGCGGGAGGGCCCTGGGGGCGGGGGGGGAGGGGGGAGGGGGGGAGGGGGGGGGGGGGAGGGGACGGGAGGGCGCCCGGGCTCCCGCCGCCCCTCCGCCCGCCCCCCAGCACCTTGAGCAGCGCGAGGTCGTTCTCCAGGTGCGGGAGCGGCTTGTACTCGGGGTGCGGGACGGCCGCCCTGATGCGCACGGGGAGGCCGGGGCGCCCGAGGTCGTGGAGCCCCAGCACCAGCCTCAGCCTCAGCTGCGACTCCCTGCGGGTGGCGGCAAGTGGGGCGCGGGCGGCCGCCCCGCAGCCCGAGGGCCCTTCCCTCCCCCGCCCGGGGACACTCGCGGTCCCGCGCCCTCCCCCCGCCTCCCCTCCCTTCCCTGCTCCTTCTCTGTCCGCTTCCTCTGGGAAGCCCTCCCTGCTCCCGCCTCTGCCCCAGACTCCAGCCCAGCCCCGGCCAGAGGAGGGGGCTGTGTGTGTCCAAAAATGCCGACCCCCCAGCCTAGGGCTCCCCTCCTCGCAGGCTCCAGCCTCGCCCGGTGCATATGTTGTGCCTCAACCACCGCAATCTGTTCAGAGGCTGGCACGTGACCTAGGCTGGGCCCATCAGTACCCGTCCTCAGAACTTTGCCAGAACTATAGCAAAACCAGATCTTTCCATAGGACATAAGAGGGCCCTTCCTTGCCACCACGTGAGAGAGCCTTCCTGATAGTGCCGCCGAGGGGCAACAGGCAGAGCTGAGAGACAGGTGGGCTCCTGAACGCC